TACGAATACGCTTGATTGTCCAGGGCGCCTTGTTCCAGCAAGTGGTGAAGCATCTTCTTCCTCGTCACTTTAAAGGTCAGAGGAGTCACTTTCCGACCCATCGTTGGAGGATTCGATGTGAGAAGCATCACATTCCCCCAGTTGTGGACGCGTTTTGACCTTGATGTTGGTGGTCACTTCAAGTTGAAATAGAGTGTCGCTGTGTTGGTGCAAGAACTTCAACACGTGACGGATGGACATTTTCTTGTAAAAGTGGCTTGTGTAAGCGCAAGACTCGCGCAATAGGTACAAGACACACAACGGGCCAGAAACTTCTTGTTTTCTCGTCATGTTGACATGTGAGACGCCAAGCGACGACGGCACTTGACTTCATCGGACAGGGCCTCTCCACTTTCAGCTGTTGAGAGTTCTCGCTGAATACGCGTGTCAAAAGCAGCCAATGCCAGGGCCGTTCGACATTCAACCTTTTGTTGGTCCTTGGTGGTGTACTTGCAGGCGTAGTAGATGCGCTCAGCCATTTCAGCGCCCCCGATCATGATTTGAATATCGTGATTACACTTGAAAGCACGAAGGATGACATCGCTGTATCCATTGATGTACTCTTCGCCGAGCTTCCTCACCAGCAAGATTGCAGATGTGCCAATGCGTCCAACTTCAACTCGGGCCCGAGGGAACAAATATCGGCACATTTGTGCACCCCTTGTGTTGCGGCTTTGTTTGAAGCACGAAGAGCAATGCGACCACCAATGCACCTGCAACACGGATGCGAACGTAGCAATGACATATAACACCGTCTCGTCGGGTAGTCGGGTCTCATTTGGTCCAAATGGCATGCTCGACAGCTCGCGGTATATGGGGTCCAGACAAAAAGTGTCTTTATCCGGTGCAACATACGTATTCGACGCTGTGTTGGATTCTTCGAGACTTGCTCGCGCACCAGCCAGAAGCTCTTGATAGTCGACGTTGGATTCCATATGGACAGTGCCAGCTAGGTATGTCTGAAAGCTCGCACGCATATGGTCATGTGTTCGCTCGGGGCCATACTTCTTTCCAGCCGTAGACTTCAAGAGCGATGCTTCCTCGTCCAAGTACTTGTCGATTGCAGGCTGAGAAAGCTTGGGCAACTCCACAGGCCACACTTTTCCACAGGCCACACTTTAGGCCTCGAATGCAGGAGGGCTTGCCGAACCAAGTGCTGGGAGCTGACCATCGTGTTGCAATGTCCACATTTGGCCATAATGGGCTCTTTCGGAAGGACGCCCTCTGTGCGACGAGGTTTTCGAAGGCTGTCAAGGGAGGGTCTAGCGCTTCATACTTGGGATCCGCATGCTCACACGTCTTGCAGGGGGTCTCAAGGAGGTCAATGGGCACAATGCCCTCCGAGTACTTTAGCACCATCGCTTCATACTTGAGGTCTGCCTGAAATCGGGCCTCGTACTCGGACGTGGAACGTGGAGCACCATGTACCCAAACAAGAAGATGCAAGTGAAGCGTCCCTCGACCTTGGGTCTCAACCATTCCAAAGTACGCTTTGACATGGCCGAATAGCCCACTAGTCTTTTTTGGTCGACCGGTAGACTTATCGAAACCGACAACGACTTTGATGAATGCCTCGATGCTTCGATCGAAAAGAGTAGCGGACACCATGTTGTCGTTCATCACCAGTTGTTGCATGGTTGCTTTGTCAGGCATGTGCTTGAGGTTCTGCACATCAAAAAGCGATTTGACTTGGATGCCTCCTGCCAAATACGCCAAAGTGATTGTTCCGTCCACCTTTGGCGTGATGGTGACGAAAAGACTTGGCTGGCCAAAGCGATCGGCCGTGGTAAAGACTTCTCGACGGTGCATACGACGTTCGGCATTGCTGCCCCACACAAACGACGAGCTGCATGCAACGGACCGGAGAAGAGCGCCAACGGCCTTGTTCACAAACTTGTTCTTTGGAGTACACACCGAATCGACGGGAATCTTGGTTCTCCAGACCTTTCCGCATATCGTCATGCGATATCTTTGCTACCGGGGTATGCATGGACGGTCGGACTTTGGTCGAAAAGTTTGAGTTGATGAATCCACGATCGAGGCCGAAGTATTGATCTTGAGCAAACCGACGTGAGCTGAGGGAGCAGTACAGCCGACAGCACTGCTGCTTTGACACTGGGACTTCGTTGGTGTAACCACGACCAAATGGGAGCAGGTGTGGAAACATTCGGGCGTCAATGCCAGCTTCAAAGTAGTTTGAAATCTTGTTTGACGTGTGGACATTGAATTCAGGGACTGCTGGGTCTGCGCGTGGTGTTCTTTGGTGAATCTTGCTGTTGAGTGCCTCCAACACTACCTTCTCGTTCATAGGCGCCATGTCCGACGCTGTTTGAGTGAACAGGACACTGCGCTCAACGTAAGCACACTCATGCTCGCCTGAACCTTCATCGGGGTCCCCAGAAAAGCCGTTCACAGCTGCTTGTTCGTTATCCACAGCGCTTGCCTTCTCGTCCACGCCCAACGCCTCATCAATGATGCCGTCAAGTATATCTTCCGCTGGCAAGGATGCAATGAGATCCCCGTCGATGGACACGTCGGCATAAAACCCATTGTAGGACTTGTAGAAGTGCAATATATTGTAGAAGTGCAAGATATCCATGATCATGGCTTGCCGGACTAAATGATACTCCTTCACTTTGACAAGCTGGTCTTTCGTAAAAGGCCCAGCAAGCACAACACGGTACATTGCGTCTCGGTTCAGCTTCAAGGGCAACAACGTAGCAGGAGGACCAGGGACTGCGTCGAACAGGATCAAGTGAGAACGGATCATTTGGTGCTCGCCTCCACGGATGATGCGTGTCTGAGCCACAACACATAGTGAATGTGAACTTACCGCTCTCTCGTACAAAGAAATAACTCAAAGGTTTCCCCTCGCCACGAAATTGAATAATCATTACGAACAGTTTAAGATTCGAAGAATTCGTACCATGCGTTGAGTGAACAACACATTCGCTTACCCGCGAAACGTCCACGCGGTACGTGGCACTCTGTATACCGTGAAGCAGACTCTTCATGACAACCACGACGCTGTGCACATGGCGCACGGATTCAAAACTAAGAGCGTGACTGTCCACACACCATAGGCCTCCTTGAGGTTTCAACGCTCGATCGAAACGGGTCTGGGTGGCGTTTGAACGCAGTATACATGACCTATGCAATCTAAGTATAAATTCTAAAATTTTGGTATACCTTGTTCCACACGTACCGAATCTGATGCATGGATGGTATATTTTCGAGTTTAGTCCCGTCGTCCTGCTGCTCTTGAAGTAGACACTGTCGTATCTTCGTTGGCGACATATGCAACGCTCACTGCTGGATGTACTCCACGTAAAAGGCGTCCGTCGGAGGTGGTGCATCTTAGAAGCCAATATTATGCTCTTCGTGATAAAATCAGACGAAAATTTTCGATCCAATGCATGAAATGGCCAGGATACCTATACCTCATAGGTTATCTATGCTCGCTATCCTGTATATACAAAACTTCGCGACTACGACGCATAGATAACATAGCTATACGTGGGGAACCAGAGAAGCTAGGACAACTAGACGAAATAGACAAAATACACGTGCTAATATTTACTGCACAATGTAGATAATAAATTGACGTACCTTTGCAATCGTACGAATTGAACCCCGCACGATTTCTCTGTTTCCCTCTGGAATGTTGGCTCGCTTCATCGCGTACGCCGATTTTGGAAGTACTTTGAATGTCCTCTCACAGGGCGCATCAATAAACGCACACTCTGTGACCGTGCCTTGCAGTAGTTTTGACAGGTGACTTTGTTCTAGTAGCAAATACAATGTGTAGATGAACTGTGTAGTAATGTAGTATAGATGTAGTATATGGAGACTTACATGAACCGATACCTCAGAGCGTTTCGCATACATCCCAACACCAAGTCCGTCGCGCTTGAGAAGCCGACGAAAGTGTCCCCACATTCGATGAGGGGCATAACTCACCCAGGGTGTAAGGGTATACTCCATAACGCATCATTCTCGAAGTCACCAGGTGACTCTACGTCGATGGTCAGCACTTCGCCTGGGCGGACTGTCCCCCTTTGAACCGGCAACCGTCACATGTTGTCCAGGGTGATTAGCATGCAGCGTCAACAAAGGAACTCCATACATGAGTTCGTCAGCACCGCGTGCAGATGAACATGAGCGAGTTCATACGTTAGACGCCTGAAAATGGATAGTGTATAGTTTTAATGCCTTGTGTGGTGGGACAAACTTGGTACATCACCATACATCCGAATAATTACCCGGATCCAATTTAGTCTAACACTACACTACGCGCCAAAAATGAGAGAACTCTTAAGATTTTTTGTGATATCTCATCAACCAATGGGAGTTAAGCGATGATGTTTGGATATGATGTGTGGACGAATATTCTCGAAAAGTGGTTATGGCTATCGAACTGGAATTCCCTTATTTCGATGACCTCACAAACAATTGGAAAATAATGGATGGCGACAACATTAAGGAACAAAAATACATACAAAAACTAATATAAAGAATGACGGTATATTGAAGAATGATGGTCAATAGTGTGTCTTATCGCCTTTTTTGCAAATGACTTAGCTTACGAATGAACTCGATAGAGATAGTCCCATGCACTTTAAATCGCATCTCGAAGGTCGACGACATTTCTGTACTGCTTGCCATGCCCGTAGACATGGCGGGACATCGCAGCCCAAATGTTTTCGATTGGATTCAGGCCGGGAGAGCGCGCAGGTCATGGCGGAGAGGTGTAGCTGGCCAAGAAAGTCCATTCTATCATGGGAAGCATGTATGGATACATTGTCTAGCTGAAAGACAAAATCAGCACCATAGTTTAAGTGGGAAAATGGCAGTAAATATTCAGAAAGAGATTAGATGTAGTGGCAGGACGACTGCTTGCCATTAAGAAACGCCAATTTTCTCTTTCCTTCCCACGCAATGCAACCTCAAAACTTCACTGAACCACCGCCTTGTTGTCGTATCACGACTTATTTCGCGGGTTGTCCAATATCGCGCCAGTACTGCTTACAGCCATCCGGGCCATCCAGGTTGTACTTCTTTTCGTCCGAAGACACGACGTACTTCCACTCTTGGGTTCTTGCAATGCGCCATGGTCCAGTCCAATTTCGCGACTTTATGTTGGCGAGTAAGATCCAGGGTTTTCTCTTATTATGTCCTTTTAGAGCAAGGTAGATTTAATTCGACACGGATTTAGACGGCGCTTGATTCGCTGGTGATGGCTGCTCTGAGGAGCTATGGTCGGTGGCGAACGGAAAGCTGAAGTGGCCTGCCGCGAGGTTTTGGTTGGCGTCTGGGACGTAAGCATCGTGAAACGTCACTGAGTGGTCGGCTCGTGTGGGCGCATATCTCACGGAATGTGAGTCCTGCCTCGCGCAGTCCTAGGATTCGACCGCGTTCTTCGTCAGTGACTTTTTGATATGTTTTCATATACAACAGTGAAGTTTTTTTGACAGAACTAAACTGACGACAAACATTCCTTAATATACCGCCATTCTTTGTATTTGTTTTTGTATGTATTTTTGTTCGTCGCCGTCCATTATTTTCGAATTGTATGTGAGGTCATCGAAATCAAGGGAATTCCAGTTCAGAATATTCGTCCACACATCATATCCAAACAGCATCGCTTAACTCCCATAGGTTGATGAGATATCACAAAAAAATTAAATCTTCTCTCATTCTTGGCGCGCAGTGTAAGTACAATAGAGAGGTTTCGCAAACGTCCCATTCCCAGATCCCACACCTCTAAAACATAATTATTATATTGGAAACCTTCTAAACCTAATTATTCTTTCCATATAATAATGTTCTGTTTGAATGGGAACCCATCCCATTCCCAAATACCAACCTAATAGACATGGCCATCACCGACAAACGCCGCAACTGCACGCCCGAAGGAGACTTAATGCTGCTCGTCCAAGCCGCCACCGATCTACCCTGGTCAAGTGACGACGTCATGGCATTCCTTGGCGGACAAGTGGGTTTACTGTGCTCACTTTGATGGTGTCGTCGACGAACGGAAGGTGCAAAATAGGTTTATGGCGTTGGTAGACGAGCACCGCAAATTCGAAATGGCATCTGCAAAACTCTCAGGAATCGACCAAGAGGAGTTAAGGATGCATACCCTGTTTGATGACTGCCGTTGCTAGACGAAGTCAAGAGCCCTGTAGGAAGCCAGCTGTGAAAGTGGAAGACGAAAAAGACAAGATCGAACAAGGCAGTCTATTGCTACGCGAGATGGCCATTCAAACGATGAAACTTCGTAGTGACGTCGACAACGACGCAGTGAAAACGAAACCTGCGGTCAAAAATCATCGCAAAAGTTTGGCGGCTGCGATTGAGGCTGACAACGAGCTGGAATTAGAAAGTTGCGAGAATCAACTGGAATTCGATCGGTTCAAGTATGAATCTGATTTGAAACAACGTGAGTTGGATCGTGACGAAAGAAAGGCTGAATGTGAGCACCAATTGGCGCTAGCACGCATCGAGAGTGAAAAAGTGTCTAACCTGTTGAAATCTGTAATTTGATGGTAAAAAGGAAATTTTATACACAACAGTACACAATTAACACTTTGTAATTACTCTGATGTTATACTAGTATACTCTTTTAGAGTTGGTGGTCGTATTATATTATGTGTACGACGAAATTTGATTCCCACCATAGTAGCAACAGTTGCAATTCGTGGTAAACACGGCGACAAGGACAACACTTCCAACATTTCGACAGCATGATTTTGTGTAGCATCTTGTAGGTGATAAAACCCCACAATGTTTTCATACGTTCAAAGTTCAATTCCACACCTTGGCGCACACGACTCATGGAGGCCTTGAAATGCAGCTTGGGCTCATCTAAGTTATTTCGACACGGGAGCGTACAATTCCTTTGTTGCAGTAAATAACGTATGCGTATGCCCACTGCTGATACAGGCCACCATGTAGTTGAAAATTGCTGCAGAGTTATTCGAGAGACCGGCCAAACATTGACAGCATGGCATAGGATGTGATGGGGTACCAGACACGTCGGAGCAAAATGGCCATGGCTTCCACATCTACCACACGATCTCGGTTGGGAGTGATAGCGACATTTGGAACCCCCAGCAAGGATGACAGTTGCAGGACACCACTAACATCAAAGCGGAACGACATTTGCCCGTCAACATCACGCATGTTGCAGTCCATCATCACATCTGGAATATGGGGTCGTTCCACCGAGATGCCAAGACCGTACTAGAGTAGCGTCATCATCGTGGTCGGCTGCTTCTTTTTGCGCTTTGCCCATTTGTACACCCGAAGCGCAAGCTGAGACTCCCCCTGTACATGTTAACGAGATCTTCAATAACACGCCCACTGGACTTGTGCTCTGTCAATAGTTTTGCTTATGGGAGTCAAATATGAAACGACTAAATTTGCTCCCCCCTCCAATAATGCTATGGGAAAGGGAAATACAATTTGCGAAACCTCGCTAATACACGTACAGTACAGTGGTACTGAGGATTCCAGTTGGGGCAAATTAGCTGTAGCGTTAGATTGTCATAACGCTACCAATTCACTTTTCAATTTGCCAACTACTACAGCTTCCTCTGCGCACGCACGTTTCATATATAGACTCGCCATAGGCGATGCGATTGAGAATGATGATTGTTCTAATTTGTTTGACTGATGGAAGTAAGGAAAACGTTCACTCACACCTGAAAACTTATGTCACTGCTCAGCACTAGACGAGTTTAGTGAAGTTTCAGCCACGAGCGAGTT